GTGGTTTGGACGTGTCCAGAGGAGGGACTGTGGTTTGGACGTGTCCAGAGGGGGGACCGTGGTTTGGACGTGTTCAGAGGGGGGACATTGGATTGGACGTGTCCAGAGGAGGGACAGTGGTTTGGACATGTCCAGAGGAGGGACAGTGGTTTGGACATGTCCAGAGGACAGACAGTGGTTTGGACATGTCCAGAGGACAGACAGTGGTTTGGACGTGTCCAGAGGAGGGACAGTGGGTATATTGGTAGAAGGATGTTAGAGATGCAGCTGCCATGAAAAAGACAAAGAGGAGATATATGGATGCAGTTAGAGAGGACATGGAGGTAGTTGGAGTGAGGACAGAGGACGCAGAGGACAGAGTGAGGAAGAGGAGGATAACTCACTGTGGCAAATCCCTGAAGACGGAAAAGAAGAAGCTAGATCAGGGCTTTGTGATGGCCACTCTTAAACATTGACTTTGTTCTCCCAAAGCCGCTTGGTGACTACTGTGACAGTTTGTCCATTTGGAAGACCCGTCTGCATCCAAGTTTTAAACCCTCTGGTTGATATCTTGAGATGTAGCTTCAATATTTCCCTAATGTTCTTTCCTCGGTTGCCATCTTTTTTGTGAAGCGCAGCAGCCTTTCCTGCAGCCCAACATATGATATTGCAACCCCAGTACTTTCTTTTCTATAGAAAAAACTTCTCTATAGATTTAGCTGTTTGTTGTCAGTCGGTGCAGAATGTACATCATCAAGACAAAAGGAATCTCCCTACTGTATCGGGCACGTTCTGAAAAAACTTCATTAATGTGTAACCCATCACATCAAATGAAGGATAAGTTGTATTTGGTCAAACTAAACAAAGCACACTTTCAGTTTCCTGACTTTTAAAGCTACATGTTGATTAAAACATCCTGATATCATGAGCGGCTCCAGAGTTGTGGCTTGATTTGTCTTGAAAAATGCAACACTTATTTAACAAAGGTTTGAGAAATGTATCTGTGACAAAATTTAAAACATTTTGTAAATTATGTGTTGGTCCAGACAATTCAAGCCGTATCTCTGGAACCACTCATATCATCAGGATGAACTACAACCTAGATCATCCTGATGATGTTGACATTGCTGCTACAAATTACTGTTTTAAAAGTCACAGTCGTAGCCATAAATAAAAATGAATGAAACAACTTCAATAACTTGTACTGTTCAAAATCAAAACCATTTGTCCATTTTACAGGTACTGCATGTTGTGTTTTTGGAGCCAGAGTCTGTGCTTTAGGGATGTGCGGCTGTTCCTTTGATACAAAAGTCAGGCCTTCACACCCTCCCATCTTGCTAGCAGGCTGTCACAATGTCCATCACCTTTTTTAAGTTTCCAGTAATTAATTGAAACAAAGCCTTCTCTAAAATTAACCTCTGAATATACAGCAGCAAGGAAAGAACTACTAGAGTTAGGCCTGTCGCAATAAGCAATAAATCATTAAATGCATTAATCGCATAATAAATGAAAATTATCAACCTCATTTTCATTTATCGGCTTTATCGTTTCTTCGTGTCTTTCTTTCTACTGAAGACATTGGATGACAAAAGGCTCACTCCGGTGCTCTTCACTGACCCCGCCCTTTCTCTTTAAAATCTCTTTTAACGATCCAAAATCATGTTTTTGGATCGTTAAAAGCAGCTAAGCTACGAGCTAAGCTAACAGGCCGACCTCAGGGAAAAAATCTCCTTCTTGCCGATGCTCCAAAATTCACAGTTGAAACCAGTGCCTTCGTGTAAAAAGTTGTTTTTCTCTGCAAAGAAGCCGAGAACTTGTTTACTGATTTTTTTTTCAATTAAAAGCTTTGTGTGACAAATGCTATGCTAAAGAGCTCAAACCACACCTAGCGTCCGCCATTTTGACAACCGAAGAAAGACAGCCCATTTCACATCAAGGGGCTTCCCTCACATTTTTCTTAAAGAGACACTCTGCTCCCTCCCTCGCTATCCATCCTTCGATTCAAACAGTCTTATACTGCCATCCTGTGGTGGAAAAAAGTACTACACTCAAAACAAATTAAAAATGTCTTCTTAAATTTGACAAAAATTACTAATTATTGTCAAATTTCAAACAATATTATCGTTTATCGCAATAATTTCTGAGACGATTCATCGCCCAGCAAAATTTGTTATCGTGACAGACCTAACAAGAGTCAACACCTGAAGAAAATTATCTGAAGGTTGTTTTTTGTTTGTTTGTTTTTGAGGACATACCGGTAGTCTAGGTTGTTTACATGGAGGAGAACTGGATTTAAAATTGTTCTGAGACAAACGTATGGGGATGCATGTCCCCTTCCGGCTTCAACTTCCAGGATTTCATATGGGATCTAATGGACCCCGTATTTTAACCCAACCAGAGGGTTTAAAACTTGGCTGCAAATGGGTCTTCCAAGTGGACAATGACCTTAAGCATAATGTCACAGTAGTCACTATTGGTCTATATATGGCCAATGTTTTTTTAATAGATTCAGTGTAACATAAATTGATTTATATGTGTAATTTTTGTTGCGCACTTGTGACTTGTTAGATCATCTAAGACGCCCACTGAAGCAGCCTTGGTGACTTTGTAATCCATTTAAGTCTACTTATTAAAGCTTGGCATTAATGTTTGTGAAATGAAATCATGGAATTTTATCCAGAATACCCCTTTTCTTAAAGGCACAGGTGCAAGAACTTAACAAAGAACTTCAAGCTGCAAAAGAGTCTGCCAAAACATCTAGAACTCAGGAGAACAATCTAAAAGAAGAAGTCAACAGACTAAACCAAGACATCCAGAGATGTCTGAAAACTCAGAAACAACTTCAGCTTGAAAAAGAGGAGCGAGAGCAAGAGATCCTGGAGCTTCAGCAGCAGGTGAAGAGGCTCAGCAGTGCCATACAGGTTTGTATCTAAGTGTGTTTGCAGAATTTAAGGGAGGCACCCATCTTTGTTAGACTTTGGCCTTGAGTCCGCTGTTATTGTCCCCCATCATAGAGAGAAGAGAGGGATTGGAAATACCCTCTCTCCATTCATCCCTCCGTCTTGTGAGCCGAATAATTTGAAAAATACCTGAAGTACCAACTTCCATTTTGGTTTGTGGCTGCATATTAGTCTTAGGAAAGTTCCCTAGTAAAAATTGGGTTGCCATGTCAAAATCCAAGGTGGCTGCATCTACAGTAGTCCCTCACTTTTCACTTATATCTTGCACCAAATATTTTAAGGTTTGCTTGCATCCCATGTTCCAGACACCAGCGCGATAGGTGAAAATCCGCGACGTAGGAACGTTCTATTTATTTTAGTATCTATATATATTTTAAGGCTTTATAAACCTTTCCCACATTCTTGCAATGTTCTTAACAATGTTGTAAACTCTCTTAACGCTCTAAAAGTGCACAGCGAACGAGAGCAGACAGACTGATGCTACGGTTACTGAGCCAATCAGCGCCTGGGGGCGGACTGGCTATCGAGAGCACTGGGACATTTCCCAGTACTCCTGATGGCCAGTAGCGATAGGGAAAGACAGCCCCCCACCCCACCCTCTCCTTTCTCTTTCCGAGTCTGTCTGTCACAGCAGAGCTGTATGTCTCTGCTCTGCTGTGACAGACAGCCTCAGAAAGAGAAAGGAGGGGGCCATCAGCGATCACTGAGCAGGCCAGGCCACTGGGAAATGTCCCAGTGCTCCTGATGGCCAGTCTGCCCCTCAGCACAATGCTCTGATTGGTCGCCTTCCATCAATCAGCTAATCGTGAGTCATGTAAAATCTTACGTCGAAAACATGAAAGAGTGAGTCCGCTAAAGTCAAACCACAAAGTATCAAGGGATTACTGTATATGTATATATAAACATTGTGGGCTGGATACCACCCTAATCATATGAAGAGACTAATTTTTATATTACGTAAAAGTATAGTTTTCTCAAATTATTGGGGTGGACCAAGATTAATATTTGATGGTCTTGGCCACCATTGACCACCCCCTAGCTCTGCCATTTCAACTGGTGGTGGATAAAATTCTCCCTGATCTCACCAGGATCAATCATTCTGCGCCGCCTCAGTCAAGCAAAATAAAAATAAAAAAATACCTCTCTTAGAGACAGTGTAACTACTACCCACTTGAATATCTTGCACCAAATATTTTAAGGTTTGCTTGCATCCCATGTCCAATTCCAGTCCAGAAAAACATTCCTCCCAAAAACTACAAAACGTTCACTAATCGAATCCATCAGCAATGGGAGACATCTTGTTACTTTTGTTAAAGGCACGAGCTGCAGACGGACACATTCACGATCAGCCACATGACAGCCATTATCATCACATGTGGACAAATGATTAGCTGGCATTTGGACCTTGAAATATAATGAAACGCTGATATGTGAAACATGCAAAGTCCATTAAGCTCCTCCACAGCCAAGAAAAATCAAGGCAAAGAAATGCTTCAAGAATTATATCTCACGCTGTCCTTGGATTTCAAATTAACTCTTAAAAAATGGTTTTGAGTCGATTTATTTGCAGTAGGTATTCATGTAGAAAGTTTTTTAACAAAGCATTTACTTTTAAGATGTTTTCCAACAGCCAGAAAAGCTGTCAAGTTACACAAATTTAATTTGTTTTAATTAGAATTGTTATGCCTTCAACACACTTTCTACATTGTTTAATGATTGTTTGAGGGTTACTGTAGGTCACATTCATCAAGGATTTTGTAAAACAAAAATTGCATTAAAAAAAACAACGGATATTCTTCACATTTGTTTGCAACTAAATTTGGCAATCAATAGTTTGAAATATTTTTGCACAGCTCATTTGCATGTGAGTTTTGCTTTAACACTCGCCACATCTTGATTTTGTCCCCCCAAAATGACTCCACTCCAGTCGACTTTCGTCCTTACATCTTTTAATCTACGTTTTTAAGAAGAAGCGAAATTAAAGCTGGATTTATATTCCTCATGTTACAGTATTGCATTCTATGCCAGTTACCACCCCCTCCTCTACCCCACCCCACATGCTGTTCACACTTGGGGTTTATTTTACCTTCTCAGTAGCCGTTACATTCTTAGACTGTTAGGCAAAAGAAGAAGACTTTTTAAAAATAAATTATTCAACAGATTTTTGTTAGTGAGTGGTGCGTGTTTAGTGTTTATTTGTATCGATAATACACATACACAAATATTTCAAATCAAAAACATATAAAAACTGCCTATTTTGAGAACTATGATGGCGTTAACTCGGAAAAAGACCCTGATAGGATCATTTTGTCTTGGATCTGTATAAAAACGAGCTGAATTTTTGTTTTTGTCACTTTGTGTTTGCTGCTTAGAATCAAGCGGAATCTACCAGGAAAGGGACTACTATTGAGAACCTGCAGAAAAAAATCAGGAAGTTGGAGTCTGACTTGGAGAAAAGTGCTGAAGTAAAAAATGTCAAAGAAGATCACAGAAAGGTAGGAGCTATTTTTAATAGAAAAACATGATGAGAAAGTATAAAAACTTGTTTTGGTGTTTAAGGAAAATTAGAAACAAGGTGAAGTGAAACAAAATGTTCATAAATGGACAAAGTTACGGTATGATACATGATATGATATACACTGCTAACAAAGACAGTAATGTCACAATAAATACTTCTGTGATAATTAATGAATTATTAAACTGACATATTGCAATGTTATTACAAAATAACTGTAAAAAAGATAAAATTGTTGAGCATCTCTTAATTTTGTAGCTGTAACCTTTTTTCATTGCCAACTGCAGTTATCCTGCTGTTGAAATCCATTCTTACTTTTACTGGTTAACTTCTGTCAAGCTTCCATCCATCCATCCATCCATTCATCCATCCATTCATTCATCCATCCATCATCTTCTGCTTGTTCTGAAGTTGGGTCTCGAGGGGCAGCAGCTTGAGCAGGGAGGCCCAGACATCTCCTTCCACAGCCACCTCTTCCAGCTCTTCTGGGAGGACTGCAAGGCGTTCCCAGGCCAACTGAACGACATAGTCTCTCCAGCGTGTCCTGGGTCTTCCCCGGGCTCTCTTCCCAGTCGGACATGCCCAAAGCACCTCCCTAGGAAGGTGCCATGGGAGCATCCTTACTATATGCCCGAACCACCTCAACTGGCTCCTCTCGACGTGGAGGAGTAGCGGTTCTACTCCCAAGTCTCTCCCCGATAACTGAATTTCTCACCCTATCTCTAAGTGAGAGTCCAGCTACCCTGCAGAGGAAACATTTCAACTGCCTGTATCTGCGATCTCATTCTTTTGGTCACTAACCAGAGCTCATGACCATAGATGGACCGTCATTCATATTGTCCTGCTTTTTTGTGTCAAACCCTTACCTCAAAGAGTGTTCAAATTTAGGTTGGAATTGACTTATAGTTTGATTATTGATGCTAATGAGCTCAAGAAGATATTAGCAAAAAATTACTGTTTATATTGTTATACAGAATAGTTATTGAAAGATTGTCAAACATTGGATTCAAGAACAGTGTGTCTTTTGTCCTGGTCAAGGGACTGTGAACCTGCACCCTTATAGAGTTGCCAAGGAGTTCATGGGATTTTGACTTGGCAGTCTGCATGTGTTTTGTAGATCTGGAGAAGTCTTATAACTGTGTTCTCTGAGGAATTCTGTGGGGGGTTTCTGTGAGAACATGAGCTACTGGTGTTGCTACTAAGAGCTATATGGACTCTGTATAACTAAAGGAAGGTCTAAATCTGCATCATTTGCATAAAGTCAGGCTCATTCCCAGTCAGTTGGGACTTTGACAGTTTGTACTGTTTATGAGCAGGATCTTCGGACGCAATTAGAGAGGAAGGTGCTTTGTTTGAAAACTCCAGAGTCTCATCTCTGTTATTTGAAATTGATGTGGTTTTCTTGACACCTTCAAGCCAAACATCTTTTCCATGTACCGGAGTGGTTCAGAACCAAGTGTGAAGCCACTGAGAGAGTCATCTCCTCTAAATCTGAAGCCATGGTTCTCACCAATAGTCATGAGTAGGCCTGTCACAATAGCAAATTTTGCTGGACGATTAATTGTCTCAGGAATTATTGCGATAAACGATATTGTTTGAAATTTGACAATAATTAGTAATTATTGTCAAATTTAAGAAGAAATTTTTAATTTGTTTTGCATGTAGTACCTTTTTTTGACAACCAGATGGCAGTATAAGCCTGTTTGAACAGAAGGATGGATAGTAAAGGAACAAGCAGCGTGTCTCTAAGAGAAATGGGAGAGAGACCCCTTGACGTGACATGGGCTGTCTCTCTTCGGTTCTCAAAATGGTGGACGCTGGGTGTGGTTTGAGCTCTTTAGCATAGCATTTTTCACACAAAGCTTTTAATAAATAATCGGTAAACAATATCCTGATGCATGCTCAATAATCCAGGTAGAAAAATCCAAAAAAAGTTGTATTCGATCCTCTGGACATTCAAAAAACAAAACAACAAAAAAAATGTAGAAACGTTTCGTCTTTCATCCAAAAGACTTCCTCAGTCTGAGGTGCTGTATTCAGCTCAGTCTCTTAAATAGCACCTTCTCAGAGTGGATCAACCAGTTTTGCTGCTGACAACCAAAACCAGCTGATCACATGCTCAAGAAGGACCATCAGCCTAACAATGGGTCATTAGCACACTGATGGCTGTTTACTACTCACAGAGGGCTGAGTGATACTAGCAATCACAGCATTGTAAGAGGGGGACAGTTGAACCCGGAGGCTCCACCCCTGTTTAATGATGGACGATTTCTTTTCACAAAGATGGCCTCCTTTACTCCTCTCTCAAACCATCGTTCCTCTCTATCCAGAATGTGAACATCTTCATCCCTGAAAGAGTGACCGCTGGCCTGGAGAGGAGTGTAGACCGCAGAATCCTGGCTTGATGTTGTTGCTCTTCTGTGCTGGTCCATCCTTTTGGCCAGTGGCTGTTTAGTTTCCCCGATGTAAGACTGATCACAGCCCTCCTGACACTGAACAGCATACACAACATTACTCTGTTTGTGCCGGGGGACTGGATCTTTGGGATGAACCAGTCTTTGCCGTAGTTTAAAAGCCACTGGGACGTTATGTTTAGAAAATAAACGTCTCAGTTTCTCTGATACTCCCTCAACATATGGAATGACCACTGGTCTGGGTCTGGGTTCCTCCTTTTCACCTGTTGGCTGACTGGAGTCCTGTTTGGGTTTCTTCTCTGCTTTCAGGAAGGCCCAGTTAGGATATCCACATTGCTCTAGAGCCTGTCTTGTGTGGGATTTCTCCTTCTGCCTGGCTCCTGAGTTAGTGGGGACGCTGTCTGCTCTGTGGTACAGAGTCCTCATAACTCCTAACTTGTGCTCCAAAGAGTGATAATAATAATAATAATAATAATGTCATCACAATGTCAGCACTGTATGTTTCCATACAATGGCGAAATTAGTCTCTGCATTTAACCCATCCACCACCAGGTGGTGCAGTGGGCAGCTATTGAAAGCGCCCGGGGGACATTTTGGGGATTAGACGTGCTGCCCAGAGACGCCACGTGATGTGCAGTGACTGGGGATCGAACCTGGGACTCTCGGGTCCCAAGCCGGCTGCCCTGCCTCTACACCATCTCGGCCCGGAGTCAAACTGCAAATACTGGTCTGTGTGGGTGGGTTTGCAGTACACCTCGGGTTGCAAATGTCCTCTATCAGAGACTGAGACCTCACAGTCCAAGAAAGCCAACCTGCCATTTTTTACATCTTCTCGTGTGAACTTGATGTATTTATGCACAGAGTTGATGTGGTCAGTAAAATGTTGGACTTCCCAGGAAGAACTTCTTATGTTATTTCAATGAATCTCTGAACTTTCCGTCATAGCTTGAACCAACACCAGGTGGGCTTTAGACACCCCCATCTCCCCTTTGCCCATACCCCCAACATACTAAAGACCTAAAGCCTTGCACTGTGTTTGTATTTATTACCATTTGATGTGTTCAGCTGATGTAAAACTTATTTTTCTTAAAGAATAAGGAAGAAATTGTGCGATGGGAAGAAAACAAAAAATGGCAAGCCAAGATGGAGAAAGTGAAGAATTTACTGAAGGAAAAAGAACAAGATAATGAATCCTTGTCAAAGCAGCTCGGCACTCTTAAAGACCTTTATGCCAGGTCAGTGTATATATCTTTCTAGTGGGTTTGCACAGCTTTCTTGGATTTTCTCATTGATGTTGCTGATTTATTTCGTCCTCAGTCTTCTCATTTGGAATCAAAGGAAGCTCAGGGCAAGCTGTACATAAGTCACTAGAGCTGTGTAATGTTTTAAATTCACTTCCTTCTGTATTTTCCTGTTTTTGCAGACAGGAACAAGAAAAGGCTGCGGTTCTGAAAAAACTGAAGCCCCGGGGTGTGACTGCTGTCCAAGTAGTGGGGGTGCGATCCACTGAAATGGAGAGGGAGGTAGTGGAGCTGAAAAATAAAAATTCTGAGCTGGAGACCCAAATCATAACTTTAAGGTATGTGTCAGCCATCAAAAGTCTTCATTACTCCACAATGTCCTGACCAACGTAAACACCAATTTATCTTTCTTACATTCCTTAAAGTTTTCCACTTTTGCTTTGGTGATAGTTTTGTAGGAGTTTCTCTGACAGATTAAAGACCTGTTGAGTTTCTTTTTTTAAGTCTTCGCACCCATTCATCTCAACCTTCCTCAGGTGTAAAGCTTTTGCGGAAAACCTATGAATAGTTAATATCTCTTGTAGATAGCTTATGGAGAAATAGCGTTCGCGTCCGACTGATGACCTAAAGACTAAAACTTGCTAGATAGTTCTTAAGATGTAAGAGATCTGTTCTCACTCGCATGATTGAGACGTGTTTTTTTTTCTCATGGACATTTTATACTCAGAGGAACTGCAGCATACATCATACACAAAGAGCGATAACACAGTGACAATAGGGTTAGCAGAGTGGCCGTTTAATGTCTGCTAATGTTGGAGGAGGAAGATCTGGTGTTTTTGTTTTTAACTAAGGAGACGCACTAATTTTCAAATTTGTCACAAAGAGACCACCACTGTTTCTTACAGGCGAACATCGTGTTCCTAAGCTGCCCGCTGAGGCATACGCCCTCCCTGCCAGCGCAGCCACAGCTGTCTGTCTCGGCGATGTCTCCTCAATGCACAAGATCTGTGCTATTTCCTTCCTTGAGTTCTTTGATTACCGTTACAGGATTTATTTGATTATGTTTTATCAGTTTTGCTAGAACACTTGTAAAGATGGCTGTTTTTTCTAACAGCCTCAGCCAGTTACTCCTCAGTAGAGCAGCTAATGTGAAATAAGAGCAGTATATTTTTTTCTGCGTTAACACACTCACAAATTTCTGACCACACAATTCTTGGCACATACCCCTGTGAGAAAATAGTTCTACCAGACGCTTCTGCACATAACCAGTTCTTGCAAAGCCTGCAAGAATAAAACGACGTAATTTTCATCATTCAACTGCAGCAGTGAGAACAGACTTCTTAATGTCTTGCAAAGAATAATTCAAGCTTAAAGCTTTCTACATAGTTTGCATGACGTTAAACATCTGTTTGTATTCACGTGGTTGTGAGATGTTCTTTTTGCATATTTTATACGCGGAGAGAAACATACTCCTGGTAATCCCTCCCACTGTCCTAGTGCAGCACTTGTCATGCACAAGCAGAAAGAACATAACATTGACAGCACTGTTGTCAGAAATCTTTATTTTCAGTTATTGATGGAGGAGTTTTTACCAAGGAGTAGTGCTGTTTTGTAAATTTGTCACAGAGACCACAGTTTCCAACAAAAATGTGCAGAAACGTGTCCCAAGGTGTCAGAGTCAGAGTCAGAGTCAGAGTTTCTTTATTGTCATTCGCACCTCATGTGGTACATGTGGTGGAGCGAAATTATGTACACAAGGTCCCAGTTACATCCAACAATAAAATGTATAAGAAAAACAGTAATAACATCTAAGATATGAACTAAGAAAAACATCAACTAAATATACACTAAGCACTCATAACATAAAACATTGAACATCAGCACAAACATGAACATGAGTCTGTGAGCGGATGTGCACGCATGAACACATCAACATTGAAACAGATCAGCAGCAACATGAAACAGATCAGCAGCAACATGATATGGTTTTTCACAGTGATTATTCTAGTTAGAGATTCATGAGTCTAACAGCTTCAGGGTAGAAGCTGTTCCTCAGTCTAGTGGTTCTACACTTAATGCTCCTTAACCTCCTTCCTGAGGGGAGTGGGGCAAAAAGTGTGTGTGCTGGGTGAGTGGGGTCCTTTATGATGCAGGTGGCCCTCTTCCTGCATCTGGAGGTGTAGATGTCTGTGATGGTGGGGAGGCTGATTCCGACAGACTTCTGTGCAGCCTTCACCACTCTCTGCAAAGCTTTTCTTTCTGCAGCTGTGCAGCCTCCATGCCACACATTGATGCTCGAGCACAGGATGCTCTCCACTGCACACCTGTAGAAGGAGGTGAGGACTGAGCTTCCCAGACCAGCTCGCCTCAGCCGTCTGAGGAAGTAGTCTCTGATGAGCTTTCTTGATCAGGCTGGTGGTGTTGTTGCTCCAGCTGAGGTTGTCATTCATGTGTACACCCAAGTACTTGTAGCTGGAGACCACTTCCACCGCAGATCTTCTTATGTTCAGGGGGTGTAGATGTTTTTGTTCCTTCTGAAGTCCACCATCATCTCCTTTGTCTTCTTCACATTGATGTGAAGGTTATTCTCTTTGCACCAGCTCTCCAGGTGTTCCACCTCTTGCCTGTAGCTGGACTCATCAGTGTCTTGTGGCCTTCACAGATAAGAGGCCACCTGTGTCTTCATGTTGTCTCCTTCCACAAGTTTTTTAAGCTTTATTTGACTGTTCATATGTTTTGCTGTAAAGATAGCTGAATTTCCTAACAGCCTTGGCCAGCTGCTCCTAAGCACAGCAAGTGAAGTGAAACAAGAGCTCTGTAGTTCACCAGCTTTAAGCACGCCCACAAAGTTCTGACTATTCAAACAATACTTGGCACAAACCCCTGCAAGAGAAAAAGTTCTGCCAGGAGCTTGTGTTGTCAATATATTGCAGAGCCTTATGTCTTTAGCCTTAAGCCTTAATGCGGCCAAGAACAAAGTGGTCTTAAGATCAGATTTATAAAATGCTTATAGTGGTTTATGTGAACGATATTTTATAAATATTTACACCAGTGTAAAAAGATGGCGGCAGCAGTGAGCGTTAACTCTTCAACTCCTGTCTAGGTTCATTTCTAAACTTAGTTAAAATTTTGCTGAAACGACTATATATCACAGATTGACATGATGTTACCATTTATCAAGCAAACCTTCCAGAGGACCTGACTTTGTTGGATTTTTTTTTTACGTGGATTATTGAGCATGAACTTTGATATTTATCAAGCAGCTTTCACGTGAACTGCTCTGAAACTTTGGAAACTGGAGTTGTTTCACAGCTGCACCGTCTACTTTGATCTCAGCTGTATTTGTATTTGCTAGTAGCTCATCAATCTCGCCAGATGTAAACTCTGTTTCTCCAAACTGAGGTTGTTTAAATAGTTATCTAGTACATGTAAGATAATTTCTTTATAGATTTTCCACAGAACAAAATAGCCAAATTATCAAAAAATAAAATATGCACCTTCTTGAAATAAGACGATGATTGATGCATAAAACTTTTTGTTCCTATTTACATTAAAGCTTTTGAGGTTATTTTTGCAGCTGCGTGTGAAGACACATTTAAAGAATCCCAATTTCTCTTTATGTTTTAAAGTAATGAAGGGCTGTAAATTTGTTCCTTAGTTGAGACATTCTTGATGGATTACATTTATTTTGGACTATGTACCAATTCACAATTGTGTTTTAAATGGTTTGGTTAAATTTTTTTGTGATAGGGTTCAGTGTAGTGTCTTATATTTCTTAACATTTTATCACAGGTTATATATGACACATGAAAGATAAGTGTGTGTATGTGTGTGTGAGAGAGAGAGAGATTAAATTTTTTTTAATTTGTAACAATAAATAGTTACGTTTACTTTTATGTGTGCAGAGTGTAGCTACCATGTTTTTCAGTGATCATAGAGTAAGTTCACTTCTAAACCTAATGCATCATGCTCACATGTGCTGCCAGTACTTTTTTTTTTTATCCCTGAGAAAGACAAAAGCCAAGTACTACCCTTCTAAGTATCTAAACTATTTCCTTCATATTGTCTACTTATTGAACAAAAATGTGCCAATGTACAAATACCACTGACCACTCTTTGAAGTTTCTGGCAGGAGCTTCAGTTTCGGAGACACTGATTCAGAGTCCAACAACTTTTATTAGTCCTAGTGGGTAAATTATTCACACCTGGATTTCTTAGAAGCTACGTTCATGCGTCTTTTATTCCTGACTATGTTTGTGTTGGAGGGAGGCACGGTGGCACCAAGCCTGTCACGATAACAAATTTTGCTATAATGGATTTTAAAGAGAAAAGACAAAGGGGGTGGTCAGTGAAGAGCTCCGGAGTTGAGCTTTTTGTCATCCAGTGTCGTCAGTAGAAAGAGAAAGATGAAGAAACGATAAAGCCGGTAAATGAAAACGAGGTCGATAAGTTTCATTTGTTCATTTATGGATGGATGGATGTTTTTATTGATTACCATTAACCTCTCCAAATTTAAGATGACTAACAGCACCAGCCTGATCTATTTTAAAGAGTTGCACAAAGTTTGTGTAGCAGCTTCTGCATTCCTTTGATACACACGTTGATATTTTGTACTGATCAGTCGATTCGTATTAGTTATTTTAGACGCAACACTAAAATATGTTTGTGTGTTTTCTGAGTTGTTCAGTAGTAAAGATCAGTTGTAAAATATTTCAGAACATCATAGATAGAGAGTTGTTTTTCTATGGTAATCGAAGGCTGAGTTGTCCTTGAAGGAAAGCATCTCACCCTCCACTTTTCATGCTAAAGTTTAAAACTAGGATCATCTTCAGTGTTTCCCCTAACATTATCCAAGAGCGCACTCGCCCTGTCAACAAAAGCAAGCGCCCTGACTTCCAAAATGGCTGACATTCCCAGCAAACTCCCACCGCACTTTTGGGTTTACCGCGTCTGTTCCACATCTTCCCCCACCATCTGATCTAAATCAACACCAGGTGATCAGTTGACAGCTCAGCACCTCTCTTCACCCGAGCGTCCACAGATCATATGACACGACTACAAAGTCAATCATCGATCTGCACCCTAGGGTGTCCTGATGCCATGTGCGCTTATGGACACCCTTATGTTTGAACATGGTGTTTGTGATGGACAAATCCTGACTGACACAAAAGTCTGCTGGCATTTCAATCTTCATGGATACATCAGTTGGCCTACAGTAGTTATTAAATGTGTCCAACAATCTTGCAAAGAAAATAGACCTGCATGTTAATACTGTGCATTGGCACTACAGAAAACTTATTCACTGATAACATAAAATTAGCAAATGAAACTCATTTTAAGTATCTTTGTATCTTTACCAGTGACTGTTCAATGAAAGTGGAACTTGCTTCTCATATTCATTCAACTTCCTGTGCTTTTGGACAAACATGAAAGAGTTTTTGACCCACGTGACCTCACCATGTCCGCCAAGGTCAAAGTTTACAATTAGTGCTTGACGTCACTGTTGCTGTATGGAAGTGAAACACAGACGCTACAGCAGCAAGAAGTCTTAACAATTATGCACCATCCAGCAACGGCATCGTTGCCTGATAATGAATAAATGGCACCGATATGTCAGCAACGAGGATGTCTTGGTACATGCTGGTGTTGAAGACAGTGAACTGAGACTTGTTGGTAGCCTACTGCGCTGGCTCGGCCATGTTTGTAGACTGGACGATGACGGACCTGTGAAAGCACGTCTGTATGGCGAACTGTTTCTGGGAACTTGACCTGGCGGCAGACCACACCTGAGGTTTAAATCCACTTGTAGAATTGTCTTGAAAAGTGCTCATGTGCGCAGTCAATAGGACACTGTAGTAAAAGATAAAGACAGAGACTGCTGATACACCGTGTGTGTGACAGCCACAATGATCTAAAGATACAACTTTATGAGAAAAGGAAGAGAAAAAAAAGAAAATAGGAAATAAGTTGTGTACTAACCGAGGTTCACAAGATGTATATATATATATATAGGTAAACATGATTAAAGACACATATTTTACAATAAGTTGTAAAGTGAAATAAAAGCAGATAGTTAACACTCGTGTATGTGTGTCTGCTGCTGAAGACAAGTCAGGACAAGTTTGAAGGAAAATAAACAAACTGGGTTTTATGTATACAAGCATGTATTTCTTCTAGTATTTGTATTTTTTAGTTTACATACACTGTAATGAATACCAGCATTTGTGAACTGTGTTCTTTAAGGGTAAACAGCTTTTAGCTCCTTCTACCCATCACTTATGACAACTTTATAAAATAAACACTAGATGGTAAACTGGCTTTATTGACACAGTTTGAACATGCAAGATTATTATACCCAGACTTTTCTTTGCTTTTCAAACACACAGACAGCAGCAAGCTTTACCTCGTGATGACGCCATGGAGAATCTGATGTCGCGGAACCACTTCCTGGAGGAGAGACTCCGCTCCTTGGAGAAACAGATATCCTTAGATATATGTAATTCAAGACCCTCCGTAAGTGATTAGTTGGTTATTAGATCCTAAGTTAAATATGACAATCGCTCACTTGTATTCAGTCATGGGAAAAATAAAAAGAAGGTCATCCTTCTTTCAGTTCCAGGGTTTTATGTACATAATAAAATCTGTCTAATCTTAACCAAACAATTCTAAAATGATTCAAATGTAACCTCAGACGCACAAAGATGCACAACAAATGGCGCCATGTCATTATTAAACAATAACAAGACTGAAATGGAGAACAAAATACGTGCCGTGCTTCATCAGCTTGTGTACCGCTACCTTTCAGTGGTGATGTTCATGACTTTATAAGTTGCTCACATGGTTGTGGAGGAATTTTGGGCCATTCTTCTATCCGCCATGATTTAAGTTCATTGAGGTTTGCAGACATTTGTTTTTGCTCAGCTCTCTTAAAGTTCCATCACTGTATCACTGACTGAGGTCTTGATGACCGCAAGATCTAGATTATTTTTCTGCTGCTGTGTTTGGGATCATTGTTCTGTTGCTTCATGACCCCGTTTGGTCCAAACTTCAGCTGTTGAACTGAGGGCCTCACATTTATGACCAAAAACATGCGTGTTAGTCTGCCTTCAGGCCCAGGCCTCCCTTGCAAGAGAGATCTGTGATCTCAGTGGGGTTTGCCTGGTTAAATAAAGGTTAATAAATAAATACGTAATTTGACTCTAGAATAGTTTGGGACTCCTTCAGTTCGCAGAGGACTTCATGTTCAACTCCGTGGCTGCAAGGTACCCAGGTACTGTGACTGCAAAACAAGTCCAAATCATTACTCTTCCACTGCCATGCCTGACAGATTGTGCTAGTGTGCACATTTTTCATTTTCTCCATGTTTCTGTGCATTATAAACATGTCTACTTTGTCTCATATTTAAGCCCAAAGGACATTTTTCACAAGTCCCTGTTCCTATCAGAGAGATGTCGTTTTCTCCGGACAATGCTTCCAAATAAACTACCATATAATTAACTTACTAACCATATATTTGTTAAGTCTTTCTAATTGTCCTGTCATGAAGTTTAGTCTTTAACCTGTTAACTGAGGCCTGTAGAGTCTGAGATGGAGCTGGATAAGTTGTTTGTAACTGACCTTCAGATCTTCCCAGATGGATGGGCAGCCTCAGGTGCTTCTCCAAGGCCACTGCTGACATCTTTTCTCCTCCTCTTGTTAACACACACCTGTATGCTCCGGAGCAGCAGAGGTGGCCACACTGATGGTGATCATTTGCCCACCACATATGATCAGCAGCACCAGGCTGATTCTGAACCTCAAACAAGGGTGGACTTGCTTAATCTCTCACACAACCTTTTTCATTTTGGCTTAATTTTTGTGCAATAAACAATAGCATGGGGGAATCTGTTGTGGTTTTTTGTACACCTGAGGTTAAATTTAAATAATTTAAAGACCTGGTAAAGATACGATCATTTTTATTTTGTCCTGATGCATCCATCCATCCATTATTTTTACCCACTTCTTCCTTTTTGGGTTGCGGGGGTCACTTGTGCCCATGTCCTGCGGTCACAGTGTGAGAGGCGGGGGACACCCTGGACAGGTCTCCAGTCCATCATAGGGACACTTTATAGAGACAAACGAGACAAACAAACATTCACTCTAGACCAGGGGTCAACAATCTTTACGATCTAAAGAACCATTTCTGCTTCTTCGTTCACTAAATTAAACGTGTCCAGAGCCACAATACCTGCTACAACTGGGATTCTCAACTGGTGGCCCACGGACCACTTTAAGTTTGTTGGAGGGCGCTTTTCTGGACAGTAGGGGTGACTATAAAACTAAAAATATCTCGTGATTTTTAACATTTATTGATATTTTTACAATCTTAAGACAAAATAAAAGACGTGATTCTTGTAAAGAAGGAAAAAATAATATAGTTTTTGCCCAGTTTCTAAAAACTAAAACAATAAACTGCATTCTTATGTGAATTTTTATTTTAGAAAAATTACGTATCCTACTTTGAAGAAATAAAGCGTAAAGTGAAAGTATGTTTTACTCCTTGTAACGTTTCTAGTATTCATATATTTGCAAAATAAATTACATGAAAACTACTAAAACTCGCCCTTTTAGTTGTTATAACAACCAATAAAATTCAGTTTCGTTTCAGTTTTGGTCAAAGCTCGAAAGAGCCGCTGCAGAGGGACCAAAGAGCCGCATGTGGCTCCAGAGCCGCAGGTTGCAGACCCCTGCTCTAGACTCACTCACACTATTCAGCCTAACATGCATGTTTTTGGTCTGTGGGAGGAAACCGGAGTGAACCCACACATGCACGGAGAGAACATGCAAACTCTACCCAGAAAGGTCCCCGGCCGGGATTTGAACCGGCGACCTTCTCGCTGAGAGGCAGCAGCTCTATTAACTGTGCCACCATGCTGCCCTGTCCTGGTGCATAAAATCAGAAAAAGTGTAAACTTGTATTTTTCCCCTTAACCTTTAAAAAATCTAAGAAGTGGAATCAAAGATCAAAGTCAGTAACAGGAGATGTCTTCACTTCGTTAAAGAGCTGCCTTTAAAGGCCTAAAGATGAGCACTACATTTTACAGATGTGGCAGGAGCTCACGTTTTAGAGCAGAAATACGACTTGGCCTCTGAAATGATTGAAAGTCCTGAGATGTTTACAAGTGTATTGATGTCTGTGCTCTTTTTCTGTTTTCCTTCTTAATTGAGTTTTACCTGACTCGTCGCCTCTGAAGGGAACAGAATCTTCTCCCGTGCTTCTAGGGTGGAATTAGTTCTGTCACTGTTGACGTCAGGCAGGTGAATGCTGCAGACCAACCTGACAGGCCTGCAGCTGCTCACTTAGCCCTGAAGTTGCTGATAGGACGTTTGTTCAGCAGAGGGAGCCAAAGCACAGCCAGGCAGATGGAGAAACGTGGACCGTCTCTGTTGGAGCAGAGGACGCTTGCACCGATGATGGAAACACCGCAGCTGATAAAACAGACTCATTCACAGCAGCAGAGGATATCTCTGACCAAGTTAAACAAGAAGAGATCCAAACAGGAGCAAAACATTTAGAAAGTACAGAAGAGATGACAGCTAGGCCTGAAGTTATTGTGTTTGAAGACCAGCAAGAACCACAAACTACAAAAGGTCGTGAGCTCGAAGCGGACGATCCATCAGAGGAGACGAGGTCCGCACCGGAGACGGCGACGGGCAACGACGCGAGTCAGTCAGTGAATAAATGTGTCTGTGACTTGGATACAGATGATCAAGATGCTGGAGGCTCGTCAAACGTGTCACAAAAGGCTGAGGAACGGGTGGAGTTGAAAGAAGAGGAGGAGAATCAGGAGCGTTCCTGCTCAGCGGAGCCAGAAATTGATTCCAGGATACTGAGCAATCGGTCCGAGAGTTGTATCACTTCAATAAAGGACAGAAGAGCAGACAAATGGAGAAACAGATCTCTTAAATATGTGAAGGTACTGCAGGTTTGTTAGCTGCCCTGCTGAAGTAGTGATGTCATAGATGTGTCAGCGTGCCGTACCCAGTGAAACCGCTTAAAGTTTGGTGTTTGACTCCCCCGCTGTGTCTGGCACAGAGTCGAGGTTTGAGTGACTGAGTAGAGAATTTAGCTCCAACTCTAGGAGAACTCGTTTCCATTATTTGCCGTTTCTCCCACTAGTTTGTTATATCCTGTATCTTCTTGTACGCGCTGTTTTAAGATGTTTCTGTCATCCAGACCTCAGGTCAAGGCTCAAGCACTTGGTCACAAAGAGATCAGGATCTTTCGAAAGACAACGTCAGGTTGGCCTCGGAGAACCTGGAGCTGCGCTTTCAGCTGGAGCAGGCAAACAAAGACTTACCAAGACTCGAGGTACAACCCAAATCCACCGTAACCGAGCAGAGGTGGTCACTCAGTCACCACCAGCACCGTTCCTGGTGAACTCAACAGAAGAATTGGGGGGAAAAGTTGATCTAGAGAAAAGTCTGAATTGTTTAGTTTGTAAAAAAAAAAAAATTTTTATGCATCAGTTTGTGTATTAATTTGACAAGAAGCTGAATATTTGATTTATTAAGGGGATAATTTGGCCATTTTGTTCTGTGGAAAGGTTAACAAGAAATGATAACCTACCTGTTGTAGATCTTTGTACGACCTCACTTCAGACAGAGTGTTAAAAAGCCTGACAGGACTGAGGAGCTAACTGTCAGTGTGACTGCAGCTAAAACCAATTGCTGCTTTCTTAAAACTTCTTCTATCTACAAACTATTATATTAATTCATACAAACACTGTTTTATAGGCATTCTCTATCACCACCAGTTTGGCATTACAGAGTTGCATAGATTCCTGTGGGTATTTGTTAGTGCAATTACTTTATCAGCTGGTGATGGCACTTGCAGCAAATGTTTTGTCATATTTCTGCCAAAGTAATTGGGCAATGTGAAACTTATGACAACGTAAAATTTTATATAAATAGTGTTTGCATGAAAGTAATATACAAAGTACATTACAGCAAAGACTGGTTCTTCCCAAAGATCCAGTCCTCCGGCACAAACAAATATTGTGTATGCTGTTCAGTGGATCACCGGAGGGTGATCAGTCTTACATTGGGGAAACTAAACAGCCACTGGCCAAAAGGATGGCCCAGCACAGAAGATCAACATCATCAGACCAGGACTCTGTGGTCTACACTCATCTCCAGGCCAGAGGTCACTCTGTCAGTGATGAAGATGTTCACATCCTGGACAGAGAGGAACGATGGTTTGAGAGAGGAGTAAAGGACGCCATCTTTGTAAAGAGAACCTGTCCATCATTAAACAGAGGTGGAGACCTCCATGTTCAACTGTCCCCCCTCTTACAATGTTGTTATTGCTAGTATCACTCAGCCCTCTGAATAGCAAGCAGCCATCATGGCACTAACGATCTGTTAGACTGATGGTCCTCCTTGATCATGTGAACAACTATTTCTGGATGTCACCAACAAACTGGTTGATCCACTATGAGAAGGTGTTATTTAAAAGTGAGTTTGTTGCAGCTCCTCAGACTGAAGAAGTCTTTTGGATAAAAGACAAATCTTTTCAACAAAGAAGAATCCATCCAGAGGGCCTGACTCATCCTTGTTGGATTTATCCATGTGGATTATTGAGCATGCATCAGGACTTTGTAAACTATGAACCCTTGTACAGTTTTGGAGATTGAAGGTGTTTTAAGATGTCAGTATTCGAGTTTGGCTGTGGCTGCATTCAGACTAGCTGTTAGCTCATCAATCCTGTTTAGCTGAAATTCTTTACTCCAAACTGAGCTAATTCAAATGGCTATTTACAACAGGTGAGTCAATAGATGTTTGTAACTTTGTTCCAGAACCCGTTTTTAAATAGTATCACCATAAACACTCTTAAGACACAGTAGAAGTCCCATTAAGAAAGAAGCGTAACTCAGGATGTTATATTTACTTTACACAATGCTCATATGTTAAAAAAGAAAGAAAATGCAAAACAACGCACTGGCCCTATTTTTCCATATGGATGGTTCCACTTCACTTCAAATTCTGGTCTTCTACCAGAGGCCTGGGAGTTTGAGGGTTCTGCACAGCACTTTAGCTGTTCCTTGAACTGCACTCTTCTGGACAGAGATCTCTGTGGTGGGTTGTTCCAGTTTGAGGGTTACAACATTAAGTGCTCCAGTGACCACTGGGACTACTTACTCCTCTCCACAACTTTTGTATTTCTTCTTTCAGCTCTTGGTACTTCTCGAGCTTCTCGTTCTTTCTGATGTTACAGTCATTTGAGATTGTTACATCAATCACTCTGCCTTCTTCTCTTGCACCACAATGTCTGGTTGGTCAGCCATCACTTGTTTGTTGGTCTGAATCTGGAAGTCCCACAGTATCCCACCCTTTGTGGCATCTCCCACTTTAACTATGGGACCTCCAGTCCATACTTTGCACAAAGGTTCCTGGATTTTATTCCAGCTACTTAATTACAGTGCTTCCTTGCATGCTTTGCCTGCATAGATCTTATATCCTGCTATTATCTGCTGGACAGCCTCATGGACATCTTTGCACAGCCTGCATCTTGGGTTCTGTCTGGTGTGGTACACCTCGACCCCAATTGCTCTTGGGCTGCCATGAATAGTACCTCTGTGCACCAGCTGAAGGTGTTATAGTCAAGAAACCTTTGAATGCTGTGGGTTTTCATCAACATTTTTTAAAAACTTTCTAAGAGTTAATATAACCTGACACGTCCTTGCATTTATTATGATAATTGGGCTAAAATCAACTCTTGAATGTTTAATACTAACTTTCCCCCCCACAGAATCAAGTTGCAGATCTTAAAGAAATGTGCGCTGCACTGAAAAAGGAAAAGGCAGAAGTAGAGAAAACGCTGGCACACGTAAGAGGCATCAGACTAAAGTTGTTCATTTTAAGTGCTCTATAAATAAAGTGGTATGGTATGGTATAAGTGTTTTCCCAGAAATCATTGGAAACAAGTTTTAGTGCACAAGAAAAACTTTTGAGATACTAGTCTTTGACTTATAACATTTAACTACAAACCGGATTCCAAAAGAGTTGGGACACTAAACAAATAGTGAATAAAAACTGAATGCAATGATGTGGAGGTGCCAACATCTAATATTTTATTCAGAATAGAACACAAATCACAGATCAAAAGTTTAAACTGAGAGAATGTATCATTTTAAGGGAAAAATCTGTTGTTTCCAAATTTCATAGCGTCAACAAATCCCAAAAAAGTTGGGACAAGTCCATTTTTACCACTGTGTGGCATCCCCCCTTCTTCTTACAACACTCAACAGAGGTCTGGGGACAGAGGAGACCAGTTTCTCAAGTTTAGAAATAGGAATGCTCTCCCATTCATGTCTAATACAGGCCTCTAACTGTTCAACGGTCTTGGGCCTTCGTTGTCGCACCTTCCTCTTTATGATGCGCCAAATGTTCTCTATAGGTGAAAGATCTGGACTGCAGGCTGGCCATTTCAGTACCCGGATCCTTCTCCTACGTAGCCATGATGTTGTGATTGCTGCAGAATGTGGTCTGGCATTATCGTGTTGAAAAATGCAGGGTCTTCCCTGAAAGAGATGACGTCTAGATGGGAGCATATGTTGTTCTAGAACCTGAACATAGTTCTCTGCATTAATGGTGCCTTTCCAGACATGCAAGCTGCCCATGCCACAAGCGCTCATGCAACCCCATACCATCAGTGATGCAGGCTTCTGAACGGAGCGTTGATAACAACTTGGGCTATCCTTGTCCTCTCTGGTCCGGATGACATGGCGTCCCAGTGTTCCATAAAGAACTTCAAATCGTGACTCATCTGACCACAGAACAGTCTTCCATTTTGCCACACTCCATTTTAAATGACCCCTGGCCCAGTGCAAACGTCTGTGCTTGTGGAGCTTTCTTAGAAATGGCTTCCTCTTTGCACTGTCGAGTTTCAGCTGGCAACGGCGGCTGGCACGGTGGATTGTGTTCACTGACAATGCTTTCTGGAAGTATTCCTGAGCCCATTCTGTTATTTCCTTGACAGTGGCATTCCTGTTTGAGGTGCAGTGACGTTTAAGGGCTCGGAGATCACGAGCATCCAGTAGAGTTTTACGGCCTTGACTCTTACGCACAGCGATTGTTCCAGATTCTCTGAATCTTTTGATGATGTTATGCACGGTTGATGATGATAACTTAAAAGTCTTTGCTATTTTACGCTGGGTAACACCATTCTGGTATTGCTGCACTATCTTTCTGCGCAACAATGGTGGAATTGGTGATCCTCTTACCATCTTGGCTTCTGAGAGACACTGACACTCTGAGAAGCTCTTTTTATACCCAATCATGTTGTCAATTGACCTAATTAGTGTGAATTGGTCTTCCAGCTGTTTGTTATATGCTCAATTTCCTTTTTCCAGCCACTTATTGCTACTTGTCCCAACTTTTTTGGGATTTGTTGACGCTGTGAAATTTTGAATCAACATATTTTTCCTTTAAAATGTTACATTTACTCAGATTAAACTTTTGATCTGTCATCTATGTTACATTACGAATAAAATATTGACATTTGCCATCTCCACATCATTGCATTCAGTTTTTATTCACAATTTGTTTAGTGTCCCAACTTTTTTGGAATCCGGTTTGTATTAATTAGAATTTATAACAGCTATTCCCTTAAGTGTCGATCACTTTGTTCATTCAGTGAGTTTTAATGTGTTCCTCATCAGGTTGGTCACAGTGGTAAAACAGCACCTGAGCTTGAGAAAACCATTGGGGTGATGAAGAAGGTGGTGGAGAGGGTGCAACGAGAAAATGAGACTCTGAAGAAATCCAAAGTGGCTGCAAATCAAGACAAAGTCACTGCTTTGGAAAAAGACAATGAAAAACTAAAGGTTGTCAGCATTGATTCGTCTTCTGCTCTACATTCATCTCTGTGGTCTTTCTGGAAAAAAAAAATTTAATGTTTTTTTTTTCCCCAGGCTGACTTGGAGTTAATGAAACGTCAAAGCGAAGCAGAGCTGACTTTGAAACTTGCGAGTAAAACTAAAGGGCTGGAGAAGATAGTGATCGAAAATGAACGGCTGCGCAAGGAGATTAAAAGGGTGCGTTAGCTCGATTCTATTAACGTTCTGAAGTCTTCTGTTCAGAAGTGAAAACTTGTCTTAAATCGTTTTGACTTTTGTTTCTCGTCTGAGTGTCCCTGTTTCATTCTAACAGGAAAAAGAGGCAGCTGAGCAGCTGAGAGTGATAAAGACAAATCTGGAAGTGACAAATGAGAAGCTTGAGGCAGAGCTGGAGCATAACAAGCAAAAACTGCAAGCAGCTCTGTCCAAACCAATCGCAGAAGGGACAAACAGCAAAACCTGGAAGGCAACTGTTTTAACCAGGTCAGCGAATCCATCTAGATAAATGTTCTTTAAAACCTTTTTTCAAAGACCAGCGCCTCATGTACAAAAGCTTGCATGGATTTCTATGTATGTATTTTCTATGTACCGATATGTGAATGTTCCTGTAAAGTGCCCCGAGATAACTTTGTTGTGATATGGCGCTATATAAATAAACTGAATTGAATTGAATTGAAATTTCCTACTGAACCATGGCATACGCTTAAATCGAGACAACGGCGTATACACAAATAAATCCAGATGTATGAAACAGTGCGTAAGATAGAACTTTACGCATGAATCCAAGCGCACTTCCTTTGTACAACCCTATCAACGTGGAATTGAGCGCACACGAGGGAAAACCCAACTCCTCCTTTGACACGCCTCCATTTAAATACGCAAATAGATATAAATATGCCTTGCACTTAAGGAATCTCCTTGCTGAACAATCAAACATCATGTCTACACGCAGGAAAAAGAGGAACTTCACAGAGTGCGAGTTGGAGGTGCTTCTAAATGAGGTAGAGACACATAAAAACCTTCTGTTTGGCACGCTGTCCAATGGTATTAGCTCCAAGCACAAGAGGAGTGGGACAAAGTGTGAAGCTGTAAATGCTGTGGGGTCAGCGCAATGCACACCCGCAGAAATTAAGAAATATGGTCCAACATATCAGGACGATTCAATGAATTTACTCACCAAGGAGCCACCCGTTTCACGCTGTGCCAGCTTGTAGACTGTTCCCAACCATGCTGTTCATTAGAATGAATCGTGTGTTGAACCAGAACACCTCGCCACAATGTTGGTTGACTTAGTGCATCACATATGAATTTGCACATTGACTGAATGAAAATACTTCCTGTTAACCTAAACATATTCATCCTGTGATGGCGTTTTAGTGTTGGCCTGTTCCACTGCATTGTAGGGAATTTGAAATACCTGGTTGACATACGGATCGTTCCATCCACACAGCTGGTCTGGCTCGGCTCGGGGTCGACTGGCACAGTCCCGATCAGTCTGCCAGCTCCCTCTGGACTGCCCCGTTGCTAAGAACCCCAGTGTGGTCAGCAGCTGTATGTGCACAGGCAGTGCATGGCTCCTCGCTGTGTCGAGGTCCAAGACCAGCTGCAGCTCCAAGCACAGTTCCAAAAGGATTGTCCTTGGAAGCCTAAAACAACTAATGAGCCAGTCGTCATCCTCTCTGTCTCTAAATACATGTTCTCTGTGCATCACCATCTGCTAGATCCTATAAGGCTAAAGCCGTTGCCGTTAAAGGTATTTTCTGCACTACTTTGTGCATGCTTTTATATCCACTCATCTAATTTCATTCATGTGGGTGTATTAATTGTTCATGTGTGTTCAGTGTGTACAATAATAGTTTTCGCATCATTAACAGTTTCCCAGCATCGCCTCTGTGTCGCCAACTGACCAATAACCAGAGAAATGTGTGTACGACAGCCATGAAGTTGGCATGTGGCTGTGCACATTTCCACGATCATTTTATTCTTGATATATCTAGTCTTGAGTGAAAAAGGGCGTACGCCATATTTTTGTGTGTATGCACCCTTTTTGTACATGAGGCCCCTGGTTATAAGGTGCATCACCTTCAGACTGAGTGTGAGCCTATGTTTGGTTTCTTTGTGCAGAATGTTTGAGAACAAGATAAAAGAGTTGGAGAATGAGCTCTCCCATAAGACCTCCAGCCTCTCTGAACTCAAACTACAGCTAAAAGATGTGATCGAGCGCGAGGCAAGAGCTCAGACCCGAGTCCAACAACTCCAAGATCAGGTATGGGTCAAGCAGCACATTACAGTCATAACACAGATCAGAAACTGGTTTGTTTGTTTGATCTGGTGAGAGCGTCGAGCAGAGCCTAATGACAAACTGAAACACTTCCAGGTTCATTTGATTTGACTTCACAATGAGGTCACATAAATGGCACTGAAGGATTTGCAGAACTTTTAAAACATTAGACTGAAATGGCTAAATTGGCATTTGTTTTATTTTCAATTACTGGTATTTATTAATTCTTCAGGTATTTACTTGTGACA